GCAACGATACCAATTTTTAGTACTAAATTTACTATAGGCGCACGCGCATTGACGCATTAATACGTGAAATTAGCAGAGACATGAAATATTCTGTGTGAAACAGACAAGTGAAGTAAATGGTGTTTTATTATCAATTTGACACTAGTTGACTTGACAACAACCAAATACAGCATAATAACCACAAAAAAAAACACAATAAAACCTACAAAATCAAACAAGCGAACTTTATTCAAGGCGATAATGTAAAATTGTCGCTAATTAAAAATAAAAAGGTACAGAAAATACCGTCGTGTCAACTTTTTCTATGAAAAACTTCTGCGCAACATTTCGGCGCACTTTTAGTACTAAATTTAGTAGAAAATAGAACAAGATCTAATTAATTAATGACTTTTTTTAGTACTAAATTTAGTACTAAATTTGCTGTTTGCAACGTGAATTTTTTTAGTACTTAAAAAATGAATAAATTTAGTTCTAAATTTAGTACTTAATTTAGTATCGTGACATACAGCCTTTAGACATTAAAAAAAATAATTGCTTACATTTTTACTTCAAAGCATAAGCTTATGTTTATTTTGAAAAATATGGATGATCAATCTATGTAACTATCTATTTCATTGACCTTGTCAAATCACCAGGCCTACAGGGTTGTCATAATTTTGCTATATCATAACCCGTCAAAACCCACTGGTAGCCATTCAGTTTGGAATGCCTAATTGTTGGGGTCTTCCTTGTTTTTTGTGTTTGTGTTCTCTTTTTTTTTGTCTTTAATGACCACACTTCATAATTCGAAAAATCTGGTACATTTGATAGAATCTGGTACATTTTTTAGACAAATCTGGTACATAACAAAAATATATTCTGGCAACACTATTGTGCTTCAGTCTGTTTGTCGCTGTGGAAGTTTCTGTAAATGTTAAGATTTTGGTGTATGCTTCCGTGCTTTCTATGCACGTTGTACCCCTGATGATCGTTCATGATGCTAGAGAACATGGTAAATGAAGACAAAGAGTATGGAAAATGTGAGTAATAAAAGAGATAAACCTAGAAGGTGGAATGACGAATAAGGAATTGTCCTGAATTTTTGAAAGGATGCTTGTTTAAAAGCGAAATTGAGAGGAAACTTTAAAATGAAATGCGATAGGCAGGAAAATACCGCCAGAATTCATAATTAACTCATCAACCGGTACATATATACAGAGTGTCCCAAAAAGCGGTATAAAAATAAGAGAAAATAAATCTTACATTTCAGAAAAAAATATATTTTTAATAAAAAGTTCTTTATATCACTTGTAAATCAGTAATAAAATATTAACTTTTGTCTTTGATCCTTTTTCTTTAATTATCGCGCCCATATCAATACATTTGAATGAAGTGAAATAATTCGAATGTATAAAAAATGAGTTTTTGATCTCTAGAGATTGTATCTCATTTATTGAGTATCTCGGATAATGTTTATCGATTTTTTCTTATTGCTATGTTTATTACTGAAATGAATTATGTTGGTAATTTATAACCTGTTATTACAAGATATCTGTACCGTCGTAAGGATCCATTTCTCTTACGTGAAATATGCTACTATTAAGCTAATGAAATTGATAATAAATTACGTATCTTCGGCCATAAATATCAAGGGCGATTATTATTTCTCTTTTAATACCGGTTATTGTAAATGTTTATGCAGTGTTTTGGTATATTCTCTTTTAAAATTTCCTAGAAAAACGTGCCCAACTGCATGAGACGATGTTTTCTGGAATTACATTTAATTTGTATAATTTAATTTGTAGGTTCACTTACTCTTTATTTAATATTAATTTTATAATCGACTTGTTTCTTATCTAATTCTGTTCACTTTGCAATTTTCCGTAAAGCCTTCATTTTCAGTCCACGAGTTTCGATTGATGATTTACTTAAATTATCGATGTTAAACCTTAAGGTAATTATTTCGTATACTTTTAGTTGATTAATTACACTAGTTTACAAAATTTAACTTTTTGTCTGTTGCCGCGAATTCTGTGGTCGATAATGTTCACTTATGACTTGTTTTTGTCAAATCTAACCTCAAAATTTTTTTGAGCAGCTTGAGTTACTTTGTTTTTGATTTTTATCATTTAAGCGTATAAATTAATCGATAAGAGGCGTATTTTACTGTGTTAAGATTAGTATCTGAAGTTTTTGCGTCATGAGTAGTTCAAGGAAACGTTGTTTGAACAATCCAGATCATTTTTGTTATATATGCGGAGAATATGTGTTTAACGATTGTAGGAAAGTTATACCAGAGTTAAAATGCCTATTTTGAATATTTTGGGGTGCTCTTGGATAAAAATGAGAAGTCTTGGGCTCCCAATTGTGTTTGTAAATCGTGTGTGGGAATATTTAAGATTATGGAAAAGTGGTAAAAGAAATGCCGTTAAATTTGAAACACTAAAAATCGAGCTAAATGGCAGTACCCAAGTACTAGTTGTGTTCAATGTCCAGTGCAGCGTTCACCTGACTCTTCAGTGCCTAAAAATATATCTGAACCCTTAGAACAAGACATCGAAGGACCAAGCTCACAAAGTGATGCTGATTTTGAAAGTATGTCAAATGAGCCAAAATGCTTTTCCCAAAACGAGTTAGATGATCTTGTAAGAGATTTAAATCTTTCTAAACAAGCTTCAGAATTGTTAGCATCAAGACTGAAAGAAAAAAATGTGCTTTCCTTAGATACTAAAATAAGTTTTTATCGTGAAAGAGATAAAGAATTACGGCGTTATTTTTCCGAAGAAAACGGTATTACTTTTGTTCAGATATTAAAAACTTGTTAATAAAAATGGACTTGGAACAATACGAACCAAACGACGTGCGTTTATTCATTGACAGCTGAAAACGTAGCCTAAAATGTATTCTATTACATAATGGAAATAAATACGCTGGGGTACCTATTAACTACAGTACAAAGTTAAAGGAAGAATATTGTAACATTTCGCTAGTCTTGAACAAAATAAAATACAGTGACCATAAGTGGCAAATTTGTGTCGATTTAAAAATGGTGGACATTCTTCTCGGTCAACAAAGTGGTTACACTAAGTATCCCTGTTTTATATGTCTTTGGGACAGTGGAGCTAAGAGCATTGGGTAAGAAGAAATTGGCCTTTGAGAGAAAATATGAAGCCTGGAAAGCAAATTATAGTCCAGAATTAATTAGTAGCTCGTGACAAAATTATTCTTCCACCATTACATATAAAACTGGGCATCATGAAACAGTTTGTTAAATCACTACATAAAGACGGAAATTGCTTTTCTTACATTTGCCAAAATTTCCTTAGCTCACTATGGAAAAGATTAAAGCCGGTATTTTTGATGGCCCCCAAATTAGACAACTTACGAAAGATACTCAATTTATAAATTCTATGACTAAGTTAGAACTAAAGGCTTGGACAGCTTTCGTCTCTGTGATGCAGAATTTTCTCGGAAATAAAAAAATCTGCAAATTACATTGAACTTGTAGAAGACCTTCTGCTACAATTAAAAAATATGGGGTGCAATATGAGCATAAAACTCCACTTCCTCCATAGTCACCTGGACAGGTTTCTGGAAAATTTAGGAGACATGAGCAAAGAGCGTTATGGAAGAGCGCTATCAGGGTTTTTGGGACACGAATATGATGTCTGACTATTGTTGGTCTCTGATACGTCATTTTCCGAAGTCTACACATCTTTAAAACGAAGTTTTTTAGAACTCAATGATTAATTATGTTTTTAGTAAAGTTTTTCTTAGTAAATACATGTTTTTTTCTATTTTATACCTACATAGCTGGACCTCAGAAACTAGAGTTGATAAAAATCTTCTAATTATATTTTTGAAAATAGCTTATCATATGTAGTCAGCAACAGCTGAAATTTTTTCGGCAACAGATGTACTGTAAACTAGTGATTATCGATAATCATAAATCAGTTACTAATAGCTGATAATCATACTGAATTTTACATTTGAATGGTGTTGTGCAACAAAAAATCAATAAACATTTTTTCCACATCGAAACTACCTTACTTCAGTGCCCCCAAGAGCTATGCAATTTTTGGTTAGCCCCTCATTCCTGTTTTCTAACACATTTTTTTTTTAACAATTTTCTTTACTTTCACCAATCAACTTTGTTATGGCTTAATTTTTTACTGTATAATACCTATCATCTATTTTATTTAATGCTTTCAATCATATCAGTATCACAGTTCAGTTGATCTAAGTTTAATGTATATTGGTATTTTTGAATCGAGGGACTTCTGACAAACATAAATGCTCTATGTCAGTTTGACGTTTGTAAAAAACAGTCATTAAAAATCTTCTTAAAAGTGAAGATGAAATATTGTACGAAATGGTAAAAAACTGAATAACAGCTAATATTTCTAGCTCCGAAAAATAATTATTGTTGGTAAATTTTGCTTCCTGTACTCTTATGTACTATATAGAAGTAGCCGGTGGTAATTAAGAAAGATGTTGTTATTATAAATTTTGTTATCTATAAGTAAGAATTTCCTTTAGTAAATGGGCAATAGTCACCATCGTCTTCATACATTTGAATAACAAATATAAACAAAATTGTAAAAAATACTTAACTTATGTCAATGTCAAAACATTGATCTTAGTTTAAACGCCCAACTTTGACGGTTCAATTTTTCGGATAGTTTAAATTAAGATCTTTTAATTGAACCCAGTTCTTTTACTGAACTCAGTTTAAACTTTGATTGAAAAACTGGCCCTAAATTATTGAAATGTCAATCTATAATATAATCTACGTGTTGTCAAATGATAATTTTAGTCGTACTTTGGACTAGTGAAATTGATTTTTGACACACGTTGCATGTATTAGCTTATGCAATTATTGATATCCATATTACCTGCATTTATATAATATGTCGAATTACCTATTTTATTAATTTAATTTTTAAATTTCATACTTGTGTCAATGAAGATAATATAATTGACAATATATTTAAAAAAACTTCATTTTATGATATAAAATCGTGGCTATTTAATACGATGGATTTTAATTTTTTTCCTTTTATTTTCAGAGATCAGAAAACGTTGACTTGGCTCTAAGTATACCGCAATCAAATTTTCAATCAAACGGCTACGACATGGGCGACCAGGTGAGTAATCGACAAAAAATAATTTCACCAATACGCTTTCTTAATTAAATGTCTGTTAAGTTAATTTGATTAATTTTAAGATTGGACAGCGGATTTTTTACATATTAGATTAGATGCAAGTCATGATTTGATGTATAAATAATTTAACATACATTTAATGAAAGTTCAGGGTTCAAAGAGAATTAATTTTCCTATTAATAAACTTGAATATGAAATTGTGTGCCATTTTGATATCATCAGAAAATTAAGAGGTTGCTGTCACAGTAGAAGGTCACATTCCGATTTTTTGACATTTGTATAATTGAAATAATAATTACACTATTTACATTTCAAAATGTTTTGCATTCTGACAAATTAATTGGCAAAATTAAAACTAAGTGTTTTTTGTAATTTCTTTAATATTTTTAAATGGTCCTATGCCATTTACCGCATTTCAGTCTCCACTTTTTTTCCTTTCACTCGCATCCTTCTTTATGGCACCATCTGCTACGGTTTTTCTGATTACTTGTATCTATGAAGTGGTCTTCTTTTTTTTTTTTTTTTCTTCAAATTATTACAACATATTTTAAAGACAAGTTTAAACATTTTCATCCAGAATTAATAAATATTTTTATCGCGCTCGTATTTTTGTTCCTTTTATATCTGTGAAGTGATCGGTATTCTTTCTTTTTGAAACTGTTACAACATTCTTTCAAAAACAAGTCTAAACGTTTTCATCACCCTCGTATTGTAATTTATTGATTGAAAGTATAATTCCTATAGTTTTGTTTCCACTAGGTGTCAAATACGAATATCTGACAGTTTGCTGTCTATATGTCGTAAAAAAACATAGTTCATTGTGGACTGATTGTGAGATTTATTGGTACAGCTGGAATAGGTATGATATTACTGATTATTGTTTTAAGTTTAAGTTAAGTTAATTCAGCTAGTAATTAATTAATTACGGAAGTAAATTATAATTTACGCTTGATGGTCGAGAGGTTAAGGCACTGACAGAAGCTCGTGGGATAAATAAGGAAAGTTTAAAAGGTCAGATAACATTGAAATATCTACATAACGTGCTTATCACCAAATAACAGTGATTGAATGAAACCAGATATTTAGTATGATTTGAATTAATTAAATGCATAGCCATGTTCTAAATGGAATCAAAAATTGAAAGTGTAGTTGGTTCAGCGGTCCCCCAAACATATGAATACTATTAGAATTGCTCTGAAAAGTTCTTCCTAAAGAATAATTTTAATTTAGATGATGCCAAATCGTGTATTGTCAGCTAGTGAGATTTCAATTCTTTTTCGTAGTATTTCTGGTAGTACATATGACCAAATTTTACTCGAAAGCGCGATGTGCCAATCTTATAGGATTTTATCCAGAGCCATATGAGTATATGGGTAGAGTAATTCCAAATGAGAAAAAGATTTATGTTGACAAAGTCCATATTTGTAGCAACGTAAATGGCATCTAAAAAGTTTAACAGTAAGTAATTAATTCTAAAAATGAGACCTAAACAAAATCCATATTGTCTTTGATGTTGATACATTTTTCCATTACTTTCTTGACGGAACACCGAACGACTGAAAAGAAAAAACAAAGAAATATATCCTATTATTTAAAGTCAAAGTTAAAAATATTTATTATCAGTTTGTTTTTTTGAAGAGTAATACTCTAATTATCCAATTGTAAATTTATATATACTCCGCATATACAGATTTATCAAATTTATTATTTATTAATTCAAGAAGAAAATAGTAAACTTATTTTTGTTTATATCACTATTTTGTTAATAAAATTGTTGAATTTACAGATCATATTATTACTGTTTGCATCAAAGCATAAATCATAAAAATATAAATATTTTATTTATATTGTATTCTATATTTTGTGTCAAAAATATCTGGATGAATCTATTAGAATCTATTAGGTATCCTGTTGATTTGGAAGTAATTCGATTCTGTGTTGGATATGCTATTATTTTTACTTTTTATTAATGACGTGCCTCAATTTATAGATAGGTCATTTTATTTGCTGACGATACGTCATACTGGAGCAGCTTATACAACGATGCAATTTTATTATAGAAAAATTTTGTCAAAAATTGTCTAATCGTTAATGTTGATAAAACTGAATGCCTCTTTTTTAAAATAGATATTCCCAATCAAAATCCTCAAGGAGACAAACATTTAAGCTCTAAAGTTTGTGTTAAATTCCTGGTTTGAATATGGGTGGTCAAAAACGAATTTGATTTTTAATATAAAACCTCTTGAATCATGTAAACCTAGATTTTTAACTTATGTTCATCATAAAAGTGATCTCTTCTAGTTAAGCTTACATAATTATATATCAACAAGGAATACTGAAAAATACTATACCCCTACACAAAACATCTTAATCTATCTGTCCATAGAGGTATTAAATTGTACAATGGCCTCCCAAGTAAGGTTGCTATATTAAAAAAACAATTTCTTTACATGTCTAATTAAAATTCCTGACACTTCTTAAAAAATTCGGACAAACTAATAAAACTCCAACTTATGAAATTATTACTAAACGTTTTATTAAAAAAAAGTAATTTTAACGGCCAAAAAACTGTTTATGCGGGTTTTTAAGTATAGGTACCTTAATACTTTTCATGGTGTAGTGATTTCGAGTGAAAACGTACTAGTATTTAGGGAGTGGTTCATTCCTTTGTTACTATTGTTTATATCTCTATTTTTAATATTTTTTAAATTACAGCAAAACCTATCAACATTGTTTAAAATGATTTTGAATTGTTAATTTTAAAGTGTAAACCTGACTTATTCTAGACTTTTTTTAATGTCTGACAGGATGAATAAATATTATTATTTAATATTACAAAAAAAATAAATAATTAACTGTTCATATTAGTTTACTAGAATACCCAAATGATATTTGTATATTATGAAAATTTATTAATTAACAAATTCAAAATATGTGAAATAAGAAGAAATATATACTAAATATGTTAAATAAAAAAAAAAACTTTATAAACAAATTAGAACTACCAAGTCTTTGTAACAATAACAATAGATAATTAAAGGACAAAATGACATTGAAAATGTAGAACAAAGGCGTTTGAAATGTTAAATAATTTAGAAGCACCTACTTGCATTTCAAAATTTTTAATATTTGTTTGACTGCTCTTTATCCTGTAAGCACACCACTGCTCCACGTATTTAAAATACATTATATTGGAATGTTATATCAATTTATCTCGCTGCGCTCTGAAATTAAATCAAAGAACTGCAGTAATTAATTTTCCGTAGATTAATTTTACAAACAACAATTTCAAACTCCGATAAAAATACTTTATAAATGGTAAAATTATGCGTATCTCGTGAAGTATGTTGCATATGGTATAACAGGACCGTAACTACAACTGTAATAACGCTATTTTTATTCTGTTTCTTTTATATACAGTGCTACATTTATAGGTACCTAAATGCCTTTGTAACTCCACCACAGCTAGTTTAACAGTCTTTACTTCTGACTGTTACCGACTTCTCAACTTTTCTTAACTTTCTATTTTATTGTATTCACGTTTTTCCGACTAGTTCAGCCATACTCAACCTTTTTTTCCTTCGGGCCACATACGTATGTTTGCTATATTACTCGGGCCGCAATATCTTTGAATGATGACCCTTTATTTAGGCCACCCATTTAAAATTTATTAGTGGGAACCTCTAATAAAAAAAACAAATATATTATCCCGTAGGGTTACTGCAAAAACAAGATAACTTACATTTTTAGAGTTTCGAAAAAACGCTCTTCAAAAGTATAAAATGAAATAAAAAATCAGTAAAAGCACTGTTTAATAAACAATAACTCCAATAAAAAAAAAAAAAAAAGAAAAGAATTTAAGAGAAAAAACGTCACAAGTTATAGCTTTCTACAAAATCTCTCTCTATTCGATACGCATCGTGTCGAGTTCCCACACAAGAATTCATGTGCACTGTGCAAGTCATAATCAATGTCTGTGTCACTAGCTTCTGTGAAAGGTTCAGGAAATGTCTTTAACATTATTGGATATAAGCAGATTGTGATATTAATGGTGAAATAGTCCAAAAATATTTTGTATTTCGAAAAATCTTAAAAGTATTTTTTACGGAAAACAAACGTTTTGAATTTCAATTAAAAAATAACGCTAAATAGATTTTAAAATAACGCTAAATAGATTTTAAAATAACAGAAATTTATTATAAAATAGATGAAAAGGGTAGATAGACCAAAACTAGTCCAAAAATATTTTGTATTTCGAAAAATCTCAAAAAGTGTTTATTTTACGGAATACGAACGTTTTAAAATTAAATTTTTAAGAAATGACGCTAAATAGTTTTAAAGTAACAAACATTTATTATAAAACAGATGAAAAAGCTAGATAGACCAAAACTAGGCCAAAAATATTTTGTATTTCACAAAATCTCCAAAAGTGTTTATTTTACGGAAAATAAACGTTAAAATTTCAAATTTTAAGTAATTACGCTAAGTAGGTTAAAAATAACAGAAATTTATTATAAAAGAGATGAAAAAACTAGATAGATCAAAACAAGTCCAAAAATATTTTGTATTTCGAAAAATTTAAAAAAATGTTTATTTTACGGAAAACAAACGTTAAAATTTGAAGTTTTAAGTAATGACGCTAAATAGTAAATATTTTTTCTTGGCATTACTTACATTATTTGGCATTTTTTTATAAATATTTTCAGAGCCTTTTTTTCACCCTTTTAGGCATTCTTCTGTCGGTTTGGCTTACGTTTTTCAAGCAATACGAAAAGCTGGTGTTTCGATGATTTAACAAGTGCTTCTGGTCGTATTAACGTGCAAACAGTATGGAGACGAGCGTTAGCATCCCCACTCGTTACGCTCTTACCACGCTACAGCTTAACCAATTAATCATTTACCATGGCTATTCGGGCCAGCGTTGGGTTTACTAGTACAATTGTACTAGATTCAGTACATTTCAACCATTCATAAATGCTAGT